TCCTGGGGTGTGCAGGCAGTGCTTGATGGTGGAGTCAGAGGAAACGGGGTGGGGGCTGGGAGGCTAGGTGAGGGCCGTGGGGATGGGTGGGTTCTCCAAGAAGGAGGACCCCATGAATATTGCCCGGCAGAGACGGGGAGAAGCGAACCGCAGATCGTGTATGCAGGGCCGAGGGCAGCAGAGACAGCGGAGCAGCCCACAGCCCACTGAACGACTAATGCGGACTGCCTCAGGCGGGAGTCTGGCTCTCAGAGTGGTGTGGTCTCTGGGCATTTGTCAGGGCAAAAGGACTTACTTGGTGAGACTGGCTTGAGCAGGGCCGAGGCCAAGGGGCCGTGTAGTTGAAACCTGAGAGAGAAGAGGAGAAGGAGGGAGGAGAAGCATGGCTGAGAAGAGGCATTTCTGAGCAAAAGGACTGTATCTGTAGCGCTCGCTGATCCTGACTTGGGGTAACCTGTTAACCTCCCTGATAAACTCCCACAAATGGTGAGCATTATCTGTGAGTTCTGTGTGGTCATCGCAATGGCTTATGGGACTCAAGCACAGAAATAGAGGGCTGAGGGAGGGATGGCTGGCATCAGAATAAGGTAACAGAAGGATGGACGGTGGAGGCCTGTCTACCCTCTGTCTCAGGACTCGGCCTTGGGCAGATGTGGAGTTATGTTCTCATTTCCTCCCAGTGAAGCTAGAGGAGTTCAGGAATGGCCCCACCCATTTCCTCACCTTGACAGTTGAGACCCGTAAAACTCCATTGTTGTCTTTGTTCTGGTTTAGCCTGTAGAATTTCAGAATTCACAGACCTTTCTGAACACTGCAATTTCCTGTGCTGCCTTCACCATCCTCCGCTGTTTCCAGCGGGACTCCCTGCCTGTACACTGGCCGTCTGGTAGTCCAGCTAAGTCCCTTAGAGGATGCCTCTGTTCTGCCCCGGGGACAAAGCCCACACACCCTAAGTGACAGGCTTATAGCCCGTAGCTTTTCCTCTTCCGTAACTGCCTTTTCTTTTCCTTTTCCCTTAAAGAAAGGCTAATCATATCATCTTGAATTGTTTTTGCTTTCTGCTATTCATACCATCCAAGGACTCTGCTGCCCCTTAAAACTACATTCCCTGTCCCTGGATAATCAATAATCAGATAATTGATCCTGATGCCCCCTCTTAGGACACACTGACAGGTCTGGAAGGCATGGTAAGCCTTGGTTCATCTGAAACCTGGAAAGAAGAACTCTGCTACTGACCACTGTCAGGCCGAAGCAGGCTGCTGGAAGCAGCCTTGCTCTAGTTGTGGCTGGCATGGTTGGTGACCGTGTGGGTTATTTTTGGAGTGGAAACAAGGAGCCGGGGACACATCGCATGTGACTCCTTGGGTACTTGATGGCTGCAGCGCTATGGGAGACATGCATCTCTGTCGAGCCTCGTCACCTGCTTCTTTAGGAACACAGCTATTAATAGTTTTACACTCGATCCAGCCAAGTTTGAGGGGACCAGGGCACTGCTGACCCTTGACTTCTGCTCTGTGTTTCTTGACTCCGTGAAAAAAGATATGCACCCACCATTATTCTATTTCTCTGCTGCACTACATGAATATATATCGAAAGTTTGCCATTGTAACGGCTGTAAATGTATCATTTAGCGACATTCATTCCGTTCTCCATGCTGTGAGACTATACTAGCCTCCATTTCAACATAATCCTACATCCCGCCCCCCTCCGCCCCCCATGGGAACTTACAAATGACTGCCTTCAGTACTAACTGCCATCCTTTCTTCCCTCAGCCCCGGCTGTCCTCCTACATTTGCCAGGCCTGGGTCTTCTCAGTCATGACAGCATCCATTACAAGTACCGTACATACTAGAGTATAAGTTGACCTGACTTATACAGCCGAGGCACCTAACTTTACCACAAAGACTGCATAACCTCCTCCCTGGGGAACGGACAACAGAAAAGTGGGTGAAGGGAGATGTCGGACAGGGCAAGAGATGACAAAATAATAATTGATAAATTATCAAGGGTTCATGAGGGAAGGGGAAGAGGGAGGGAGGGGGGAAAATGAGCTGATGCCAGGGGCTTAAGTGGAGAGCAAATGTTTTGAGAATGATGAGGGCAATGAATGTACAAATGCGCTTTACACAATTGATGTATGGATGGATTGTGATAAGACTTGTATGAGCCCCTAATAAAATGATTTAAAAATAAATAAATAGATAAAATACAAACAACAGCAGCAGCAACAACAACAAAAAAGAATGTGCTGAAAAACTTGGCTTCTACACAAGGATATATGGCATTTGATCTTTTTTATGCCTGGCTTACATCGCCAGCATACTGCTCTCAGGGGTCACTTCTCTTGCAGTAGGCACCAGAGCGACACTGACGTATTTTTCTCAGTGGTTTGAAATAAATGTGTCTTTCAGGAAGGAATCCACGTCCACTTCAGTAGGACTTCTCCTTTGATAGACTCTCAGACCAGTGCTTAGATCTGCCGGGCAAGGAATTGGGAGGGTTTTTAGGGCTGTGAGCCTTCATTCCTTTTTCTTTGTTTTTTAGTGTTATTAACTTACTTTTTTTTGTCTTTTAAGAAAACATACAGTGTGTAGTTGCACAGCCTATTCTTCATATCAAATCAAACCAAACCGGTAATGGTATTGCTTCCAGTCTCCCATACATGTGGTTCTTGTTTCCCCTTCTACTCCCTCCTCCCACACCGTAGTTTTCTGTCCCTCCCCTCTCCCTGTCCCCACCCCCATCCCTGGCCTCTTCAAAGTCTTATCCTTTGGGTTAAGAACCACTTTTCTTTTTTTATGATTTTTTTCCTTATAATAACCGTGTCATCAAATATCTATCTTTATGAGATGACTGACTCTGCTAAGCACAATGTTCTCTAGTTTTGTCTGCATCTTGCGGCGTTTGATAGACTTCATTGTTTTTATTGATGCATAGTCACCATGCAGCCAGTATTTTTATGGCTGACTATTTCACTGTGTGAGATACTACATTTGGGGGTTTCCACCTTTGGGCTTTTGTGAGTCGTGCTTCAATGAACACCGGTGCACCTCTATCGGTTTGAGTCCCTGCTTTGAATCTCTTGGATAGAGACAGAACAACAACAACAGAAAATAAGCAAACCCATTGCCGTTGAGTGATTCAGACTCACAGCAACCCTGTATAGTGCTTCAAAGGCTCCCAGGAGCCCTGGTGGTATCGTGGTTAAGCTGTGGCTGCACTCCGCTGCGTGGTTGGCAGCTTGAAATCACCGACAGCTCCATGGGAGAAAGACTAGACTTCCTACTTCCATACGCAGTACAGGGGATCAATCTAAGTCACCATGCACTCGATGGCAGTGGGTTTGGCTCGAAATCTTTACAGGAGCAGAAGCCTCATCTTTCTCCCATGGAGCTGCTGGTGTCTTTGAACTGCCAACCTTGTGGTCCATCGTCCAGTGCTTACCAGACAGCGTCACCAGGGCTCCTTTTGGATATATGCCAAACAGAAGAAATAAGCCAAGCTCACTGCCATTGAGTCAATTTCGACTCATAGTGACCTTCTAGAGCAGGGCAGAATTACCCCCATAGGTTTCTGCGACTGTAACTCTTAGGAGAGTAGAAAGCCTCATCCTTCCCTCATCGAGTGGCTCATGGTTTTGAACTGCTACCCTTGCAGTTAACAGCCCAACATGTAACCACTACACCACGAGGGCTCAGTTATATACATAGGCACATAGCAGGCGCCCATGAGAGGTATTTGTTAAAGGAATTTGGACTTAATTGTTGGCTTTAATGAGCACCTTATCAGCATTCCATATGTGGCTATAATCTGTGGAATAAAGTGGTTTAAAAATAATTTTTAAAATTAGGGTGGGGGGTTTTAGACCCAGACTATATTTGCTGTAACTCTTGTTTATATAACCACATCCAAATAGTACCAGGCTAGTGGCTGGGCCCAATGATGGCATCCAAACAGATGTGCAGCAGCTTCCAACTGTGGTTGTCTCTTGGACTGACCGCAGGCAATGGCAGGGAAGCTCTGTGGAGCACATGCCTGGGCAGAGCAGGAATAGTGGCATTAGTTAAGCCCCCAGGGATTGTCCTTTCAAAGACACAAAGAAAAACTCTGTTGAGGTTTCTGATGGACAATGGGATGATCGGCAACTCCTCTTTGCCCACTCCCAGGGCTGTGCAGGCCTAGTGTGAGCGTGCACTTTTGTGACTGCACAGCTGGGAAGGTTGTAGCAGCCGTGCACTTGGGTCATGTGGGTGCTGAGAGTGGCAGGACACTGCTTGGCATAGCTGGCCTTGGAGCAGGGACCACCAGTTGCCCCTAAGATGCATTCCTTTCCTCCTTAGTCCATTTCCGAGTCTCCTGCAGTTACACATTGGGCTGCAATCGAAATCACCAGAAGGGGCTCTCTACTGCAGTGAGCAGTTACTGTCTCAGAAACGGGGGCAGTTCTGCCTATAGGATTCTGCTGTACGTCAGCATCGATTCCACAGCAGTGACTTTTCATGCAGCCAGGCAGGGTCATGTGACTAAGCTCTGAGCAACAGTAAGTAAGGAAACTGTTGTGGGGACTCATGGGACAGATGCTTAAAAGGAATGGACTGAATCAGGGGTCTGCTTACTATGGGCCCCTCCCACTTCCCCTCTGCCTCTGGACTGTGATTTGGACTTGCTGCTTGGGGGTCTCGAAGCCATTTGGAACTATGCGATGACTTTGAGGACAGCAGGCATGTGCTGGGATGGTGGAGCCATGCAACAGAAAGAGCCTGAATCTTGAAGGCAGAGATGCTCCGTCAGCCCTGAATGGGCACCCTTCCTGCCTCGCTCTCTTGTCCCTCCTGTGTTAGGCTAGGCTGTCAAGAGAAACAAATCCAGTGACATTCATGTATGTATAAGAAAGGGCTTTTATCAAGGAGTATTTATATAACAAATAGGCATCCCAGCCCAGTCCAACTCAAGTCCTTCAGTCGGATGCTAGTCTGTAAGTGCCCCCCTTGCTCCCCTAGCGGCCATCTAGTGGTGCAGAAACGTGAACTGGGAAGTAGGGCGATCACGTGCTGTGAGCGCAGTCTCATGGATCCCAGGTGGTGGTGGGGGACATAGCGGGGTGCTGGCAGCTCTCAGGGTAGAGTGGCTCCTGCGGGGCCACCCCTCCAGGCAGGCAGAGTTTCAGCAGGCAAGAAGGCAAAGGGAGGGGCAGAGATGGAGGGAGGTTCCAGTTTCTCTCATTTATAAGAAGGTTCCTCGCCCCCCCCCTCGCAATGAGGCATCATCAAACTACCACCTGATTGACAGGTTCAACGCTGCCCCTACCCAAAAGTTTCCAGTTGACATAATATCTGACTACCACACCTCCCTTCTGCCCTTTGCTTTTTGCTTTGTGGTGAGAGAGAAATAAAAACCTAGATTCCTGTAGCGGTATCACGTCTTTAAGTGTGATATACAAGAACCTAATCCTTAACTGGGACAGCAGAGCCCAAACAAGGTGCTTGAGAGCCCTTAGTACCAGAGGGGGAAGAGAAGGAATGGTTTTAGAGATACTTTCCTATGCCGTTGATTTTCCTTTCTCATAACGGGGATCCTGGCTTTCATGTGGTGCTTTCCACTGTTTTACCTTATTTCATCTTTACCAGTCATCCATCCTAAAGTATTCTGGCTACTACAAATAGTTACTCTATTTGTGTTTTTAAAAGGAATCCTGGTGGCATGGTGGAGTAAGCACTGAGCTGCTAACTCTAAGTGTGGTTGTTCAAGCCCACTAGTTGCTCCACGGGGGAAAGCGGAGGCTGTCTGATCCTGTGAGGATTAAGATCCTCGGCATCCGCAGGGCGCAGGTCTTCTGTGTCCTGTAGGGCTGCTAAGAGCTGCTTTGGGTTTTCCGTACTTCATGCGTCTTGAAGTGTGCATTTATGAATCCCTGAGACGGACAGCGTGTCCTAGGGCTTTCCGTTCTGTTGCAAGAAAGACCTTTTTTTTTTTTTTAATTGTTTATTGGGGGCTCATACAACTCTTATCACAATCCATACATACATCAATTGTGTAAAGCACATTTGTACATTCATCGCCCTCATCATTCTCAAAACATTTGCTCTCCACCTAAGCCGAAAGACCTTTTTAAAAAGATATTTTTATTGGAGGCCCATACAGTTCTTATAACAGTCCATATATCATTTGTATCGAGCATATTTGTACATATTTACCCATCCATCATCATTTTCTTAACATTTACTTTTTATTGAGCCCTTAGTATCAGCTCCTCTTTTTATCCTCCCTCCCCCACTCCACCCTCATGACCCCTTGATAAATTATAAATTATTATTATCTTCATATCTTACATGGACCGCTGTCTCCCTTCCTCCACGGTTTCTTCCCCTCTTCTCTCCTCACTTTCCCCCTCCCTCCTGGTATTGCTGCTACCCCCATTTCTGTTCCTGAGGGGTTTATCTGACCTGGATTCTGTGTGTCGTGAGCTCTTATCTGTACCGGTGTACATGCTCTGGTCTAGTCAGGACTGGGGTCATGAGAGTGGGGGGTGAGGGAGCCTCAAGGAACCAGATGAATATTGTGTGTTTCATCGGTGCTATACTGCGCCGTGGTTGGCTCATCCCTTCCTGTGACCCTTCTGTGAGGGCATGCCCCATTGTCTACAGATGGGTTTTCTCTGGGAAATTATTTTTGTTTGTTTGTTTGGGGTCAAGAAAGGCCTTTGTGAGAAATGAAAAGTGGGTTTGATGTTCAGAAATGTTCTAGAAACGTAGTCGGGATGCGTCCAGGCCTCCTGGACCTGCCTCAACTGCCTGCTCACGTTGTGCGCTTCTCTTCCCAGGAGCCGGGGTCAGGGAGGACGTGTTTCTCATTTGGAAGGAGATGGAGGAAGCCTGCAGCACGCTGGCGCAGCTCCAGAGGCTGGTGGCCGAGTCTCCCAAGTCCGATGTGGACCAAATATCCTGCGGTGGGTGCCATTTATGGTAGAAGACTCACACACATGACTGGCGGTGGGTGGGAGGCTGTCCCTGGGGTTCATTACCAAGGAGAGATCCTTAGACCTGCCGAGGAGCTGCTAAGGAGAGCTTCCAGAGCTGTGCGGGGGTGGTGGTGGGAGTGTGCGTGGTGGGTGCGTGTGCATGCACGTGCGGGTGTGCTCGCACCTCTGTCAGCGAGCAGGTGTGTGCCTATGTGCACCCAGGCACTCTGAACAGGAACAGAAGGAAGCAGGTGACCTCAGCAACCATCTAAACTTGGCTCTCATCTGCAAATTAAATCATGCCCCAGCTGCCTTAGACACACACTGTCAAGCGTCTCCTGGAGCGGCCGAATGCTTGGGCTTTTTGATTCTTATTTTAAGATGGTCACTTTTCTTTGAGCAGCGTCTGGGACCTTGCTGCAGGAGGGAGGTGGAAACACAGATGGGCAAGGAATATGGGCTGTTTCTTCAGAAGGGATAAGAGTGTGGGTTTGTATGATTATGATTGAAGAGGCCTCATGGCCATCTAGTTGTCCTTCCTGGTCTTGGCATAGAGCTCCTTCATGCCATTTGGAATGGCCGCTTGGACCTTTGGCCTTTGGATGGTTGAGTCACTGTTTCTAAATGGAAGTAACAAAGATGGCAATTTACGGGACCACTTGTGTGTGGACGCTGCACTAAGGGCCCGGTTTGTATTTACCCTTGGTAATCCTTATGACAGTGCGAGGGAGGTATTATTAACCGTTTTTGACTGGTGAGAACATGGAGGTTCGGAGGGATGCAGTCCTTTGTCTGTGGCCATAGTTAGCAAAGGAGGGGCCTGGTTCAGAATCCAGAGTACAAACCAGAGCCTTCGCTGCCGTCCTCATCCTAACACGGCTTCCAGTTCATAGTGAGCTCCTAGCCTGTCCTGGAAAACGAGAGCCCTTCCCTATTTGATGTACGTCCTACCCTTCGGGAGCCTCAAATGACAGGGAGCCTATCAGGAGGCTTTGTTTCCCTTTCTTAAAAAAAAAAAGGCAAAGATTTTGTCATAACCCAAGGGCATGAGAGTTGGAGCAAAAAGGACCTGCTTGTAAGCCACCTCCATCACTAGATTAGCCAGAGTTAATCTTGTTAAGCCTTGTTTATTCTTCGGTAAAGTGATTAGAATAATATTAACCTTGAGGATCAGTGCCCAGATTAAAGTAATGCCTGTTTGGCGCCAAGCAGGTACTTGGTAAAGGGCAATGGGCACTTTCTCCCCTTCACGTGGAGTGGGGTTTGGATGCAGATCCCCTGTGGGAATGCTTGAAGGAGTAAAGGGCTTTCTGGTGGCAGGTATGGGGCTCACTGTGGCACACCTGGTAACAGTCACACGCAATGCTTGTAACAAAGAATCCTGGTGGTGTGGTGGTTCGGTGCTTGGTGCTCATGGAATCCACTGGCAGCTCCACAGGAGAAAGATCTGCTGGTCTCCCATAAAGATGACAGCCCAGGAAACCCGATGGGGCAGTTCTGCCCTGTCCTAAAGGGTTCTTAGGAGTTGGAATCCACTCAGCAGCACGTAACCAGAGTAACAGTGCTCCTAGCATGTGCCTTACATACCAGGTACCGTTCTAGGCTCTCCACAAGCATTGACTCATTTCATGATTACTTCAAGCTGGTCTTTCTACTATCTCCATACTGCCAAGAGGAGCTCTGTGGGCATTGTGGTTATGCATCAGGCTGCTAAGTGCAAGGCCCACAGGCAGAAAGCACCAGCTGCTCCTTGGATGAAAGGCGGGCTTTTTGACTCCCTTAAAGAGTTAGCATCTCAGAAACTCACAGGGCAGTTCTGCCCTGTCCTGTAAGGTCACTATGAGTTGGCATTGACTGACTTGACTGATGGACCTGAGCTTGCTGTTTGATTTTAACCCCCCAAGGCCACATGGCTTATAAGTGATGCAGCTGGAATGCAAAACTCAGTCCACCAGTGAAAATACCTACGTGTGGCTCCCACCCCCAGACATCCTGAATGAACCGATATGGGGTGGGAACTGGTCAGTGGGGGCTTTGTGCAGGAATATTTGGGAACTACTGCTATTTTCCACACTGCCTCCTGAGACCCTGACTGCAGTAGGGAGGTATCACTGTAGGAGGGGAGCCTGGAGGCCAGGTGAGCTGTGGGAGGAAGGACTGAGTGAGGTGGGAGAGGAGGGGATGCAGGCATGTGTGCAGGGAGGGAGAGGATGAAGGCATGGGTGAGCTTGCTTGAATGACTTTATCAATTCCTCTTGATTGTTGACTCTATCCCGGGACTGGATGTTCTGACGTGGGGTCAGCAGAAGTCAGGGGCTATAGTTGTGTTGCCAGCCCCAGCCCCTGGGAACTCCCAAAGCAGGGCTTCATCAGCCTGGTGGGAAGGGGCTGCACAGGGCCTTTGAACCAAGAACCCAGGGACCTCCCTATAGGCCTTCTCATTCAGGGTCATTGAATCATTGTTGACTCATAGCAACCCCCTGTGGGTTTCTGAGACTGTAACTATTTATAGGAGTCGAAAACCCAGGCTTTCTCTCTCAGAGCTGCTGGTGGTTTTGAACTGCCAACCATGCTAATTGCAGCCCAATGCACAACCACTACACCACCAGGGCTCCATCCTGTGGGCCTTAGAGAATAGAAATGAGGCAAAGGAACACAGGCTAAGGTAAGCATGGGTGTCAGTCAGAGGGAATGATGATCTTGCTGCTAAGGCATTTGGGAGGTAGTACTTATACTAGTTGTATTTAATCTTAAGCATTAATAGAAAGTTTAGGTGTTATTTATAAATGAAATAGGCAAACTAGCCTGCTGCCGCTGCCACCATCATTCTGACTCAACGCAACCCTCTAGGATAGAGTATGGCTGTTCCTTAGGGTTTTCAGCACATTGTCATTGAATTGGGTCCTCCTCATAGTGACCCTACATAGGGTTTACAAGACTGTAAATCTTTCGGGGAACAGACAGCCTCATCTTTCTCCCACAACATAACATGTGCCCTGACACGGAGCTGACCTGGCAGTTCGCAGCCCAGCGCTGAATCCACTGCACCACCAGGGCTTGTTAGAAGAGCCCTCTGAAATGGAATCGATGCAGGAAGAGATTGTGGCCCTTTGTTTCAACCGAACACACACACACACACACACACACACACACACACATCATCCCAAACAAGAAAAAAAAATTAAGCACTTTAAAAAAAATGTACGTTTTCTACTTAAAAAGGGATAATTTGTCAGGACCCTTTTCCCCTTGGGTCCCCATTTAACCTTGATTTGGATCCAGACCCGATAGCATGTTTGACCCGCCCACAGCCCAGTGTCATTATCGAGGGCCGGGGCTCAGTTGTGTCAGCGTTTTGTTTGTGTGAAGGCAGTGGTCATTCTCCAAGTCTGGCTGCCCAAGCCCTGCAGGCCAGAGGAGAGCTGGTAACCAGGTGAGTTAGACAAAGGCTCCCCTCACTGGGCACAGCAGCCCCTATGCCTTCTGCTCTGGGCCTTGAAAGCGTGTGAGGAGCCATCCACGGTGCAATCATTGGTCTCGCCCTGCCAGCGGGAAAGAAGAGGGAAAATCAAAGATGGCCGGAAACAGGCCACAGGACCAGCTGTCCGAGTGAAGATCTGTTTCCGTGTCTCCGAGACCCAGAGTAGATGGTACCCAGCTACCATACCAACTGCTCTGGAAGGGGTCACAGTAGAAGGTCTTGGATAGAGTAAAAGAAAACATGGAGCAAAACTCAAAATCATAAACAGAAGACCAGGCTTTCTGGTCAGATAGAGAATGGAGAACCTCTGCCCGTAGTCACCTTTCTGGTCTGGAAATGAACTCATCTCCATGACTTGATGTTTAGCCAAATAATGGACTGGTTTATAAAGAGAACAATGCCACTAGCGAAGCATATGCACTGTAGAATAATCGAAAAGGCAGCATTGACCCAAGGACAAAGTTCCGAGGGGGTAGGAAAGGAGGAGGAATGGAAACTGGACACAGGGAGGAGGTGAGACAAGTGATGCTATATTGTGGGTGTAGCAACGATGACATGAAACAAAAATGTACCGTGTACACTCGTGTATAAGCTGAGTGTTCAGCACATTTTAAATGCAGTTTTGCGGTACAGTTAGGTGCCTCAGCTGATATTCAGGTCGGGTTATACTTGACTATATACGGTATGTAAATTACTGAATGGAAAATGGACCTGTTATGTCAACCTTCAACCAATTTACGATTTTTAAAATGTCAGAAACAAGCAGTCACATAATAAAATGTACACGGAACATTATATAGACCATACACGTGGGTTGTAAAATGATCTCAATGAATTTAGAAGTATTCAGATCATATAACACATGTTCTCAGATTACAGTGGAATGAAGTTAGAAATGAAAAACAGATCTCTGGAAAATATGTAGGTATTTAGGAACTAAACAAAGAACCGCCAGTTCCACTAAAGAACAAAAACAAAAGAAGTGAGTATTCTGAACTGAATAAAAAAAGAAATCACAACATAACAGAATGTGTGGGATGCCAATAAAGTGATACTTTAGGAGGAAGAGCAAGGCACAAAAGGCCGATATATTTTAGAAAAGAAAAACTATCTCAAATCAATAGCCTTAGCTACTAGTTAAGAAAATAAACCCCCAAAGTAAGCAGAAGGAAATAATATGGATCAAAATGGAAACCGACGAAGAAGAAAAGAGACAGTCAATGAAACCAAAAGCCAATTCTCTGAAAACAAAACCAAGCCTCACTGCCATCCCGTCAGCTCTGACCCCCAGACAGAGCAGATCCGCCTCGGTGAGTCTCCAGGGCGGTCATGTTCATGGGCGTCGAAGCCCCGCCGTTCTCCCTTGGAGCGGCTGGTGCTTCCAAACTGTGAATCGCAGTCCAACACAGGACCTCTATGCCTCCAGGGCTCCTGGCTCTTGGAAAAGGTCTCTAAAGTTGCTAACTCTGTAGCCAGACTGATCAGAAACAAGAAGATGCAACTGGCC